ACTTACAGGAAGAAACTTGCTCGGCGTCTACTTTTTGACCGTAGTGCTAATGATGAGCATGAAAGGAGTATTCTGACAAAGCTGAAGCAGCAGTGTGGTGGACAGTTCACTTCCAAGATGGAGGGCATGGTAAGCTTCAGATTTTATTGCTTTTCTTTTTACTTTTCTGTAAATTTGATTATGTTTTGATTTATAAAAAATTTTAAAACAATGCAATTTCTGATCTCTTCCTTCTAGGTCACTGATTTGACACTGGCAAGGGAAAATCAGACCAGTTTTGAGGACTATCTAAGCACAAACCCAGCTGCACATCCTGGGATAGATTTAACTGTTACTGTTCTTACCACTGGATTCTGGCCAAGTTATAAATCCTTTGATCTCAATCTCCCTGCAGAGATGGTATTATTTCTAAACTCTTTAATTGAGGGTAAATATCTGAATTGACATTTTTTGGTGAAGATGTTTGCTTTTATATTCATTTCAGATATTTTTTATGTCATTGTTTCAGGTCAAATGTGTGGAAGTTTTCAAAGGATTTTATGAAACAAAAACAAAACACAGAAAGCTTACATGGATTTACTCACTGGGAACTTGCCACATTAATGGGAAGTTTGAGCAGAAGACCATTGAACTGATTGTATCTACCTATCAGGTACTGCCTATATGTAGCCTAGTCAATTTTCTCTTGGGGAAAAATTGTGGCTTGGTTTTGGATATCCCATTGCTTGTGCTCTCTTTCCTTCTTTTCTGTTTTGCTCATGTTGCTTTAATTATATTGATTCTGGATGTATGGGATCTGACTTGGTATTCTTTATGTTTAACAGGCAGCTGTCCTGCTACTTTTCAACTCTTCCAACCGCTTAAGCTACTCAGAGATCATGGCTCAGTTGAATTTGACCCATGAGGACTTGGTCAGATTGCTCCATTCACTTTCTTGTGCCAAGTATAAGATTCTAACCAAAGAGCCAAACACTAGAACTATCTCGCAAACTGACTCTTTTGAGTTCAACTTCAAGTTCACAGACAGGATGAGGAGGATCAAGGTATGTGAATGTTTGGATATTTTCATATGAGGGCATATCTTTCCCAAAATTCATTGCATGCATTACTTCTATGTTTTTCATTTTCATTTTTATAATGAAGGAGATGATAAGCTTCTAAAATTCTCCAAATGCAGATTCCTCTGCTGCCGGTGGATGAAAGGAAGAAAGTAGTTGAAGATGTTGACAAAGATCGGCGTTATGCCATTGATGCTGCAATTGTGCGCATAATGAAGAGCAGGAAGGTGTTGGGCCACCAACAATTAGTCTCAGAGTGCGTTGAGCAGCTGAGCCGCATGTTCAAGGTTCTTAGTTTGTGCTTTCTTTAGATGTGCTACAGAAGAAAAATAACAAAACAAACTTACTGCGATATTTTGCTGAAAAGTTGACAGACTAGACTATATATAGAAAATAAGACGAGTTCTAATTCATATTATTCAGAAGACATTATTTATGGGGAAAAGAGAGATGGGTAGAATTTATTCTGCAGTCATCTAGACTTGTTGGCATATTCTTTGCTGTTGGGGACCTTGGAGTTAAAGGGTAATGTTTAATTAAGGAATAATTTAAGAGATGACATTGAGATGAAGTCACCGTTTTGGTTTTCTCTTTGTTTTAAGGTTATTTTTGCTATAAGCTTCCTATTATTAATTACATCTGATGGAACTTGCAGCCTGATATTAAAGCAATTAAGAAGCGGATGGAAGATCTCATCACTCGAGACTATCTAGA